CTTACCCACTCATTCCAGAGCCAGACGCTACAGCCATCATCTCCATGATACCTAAAACAGCAAGAAACAAGGTGGGTTACCATTACGCTTGGGAGAAGTCACCAGGCCCATGATCCTCCTCGCTACTACCCCAGCTCACCTCAAATACTCATTCAATTCCAAAGGTGCCCACACAGCACCTGCAAAACCAAAGGTAAGTGCTTAACCAGGTGGCCATATAATACTCTGCTATTAGACATGGAGCCTACTGTATATAGAGGGGTTGAAAGATGGAATTTTGGTCCGTGGATGGACACTGGGTGAGAAGTAGATGACCGAGAAAACCACAGTGGAGGGGTTAACAGATGGAATTTTGGTCTGTGAGAAAACTGCAGTTAGCATGGGAGAAAACGGATGGCTGGTAAGAAATAGATATTATGCTGGGTGAGAGAAAACAGCCCACAGAAACAAGAAAGTTGATCAAGGCTAGGGGAGGATGTGGAAGATGTGCAGTAATGGAGGAATATAAAGCACAATTCACAATTTTGTTTGCCTTGAAACATTCTGCTGTTGGCTTGAGCATGGTTGATACATGACTGCTGGATTATGGTAATATGCCGCGTGAACAAAGCCTACGAACCAATAGACGGGATGGCTGTGGCGCGTGCAGCATGCCTGGCCAGTGGGCGCATACACCATAGGCTCCCTGTGTTGAGAGGTGGCAACCAAGGCGTGTTCTGACACTCGCTGGCCATGTGTGTCGAAACTCATTCCTCTGTAAATGTATAAATACCAGGATTTCCCAAAAAGCGGTGGGCCAGTGTACTGCGAGGTCACCGTTACCTCCATGGGGACACCCACGTAAAGCTGGCACCTACCGACTGCTGGGCTGAGCTCGCGGCGCAGGACGATACAAGAATGTGCAGATGGTCCATCTTCCTCACAGTCCTCAGGTTGGTAAGACAATTGCTTTGCAAAACACCCTTAGTGTAATGCATGTCTGCAGTTAATAAAACGCTTGCTTTTTTCCCCCCTGTAGTCTGTGTATGTGTGTTTCCCCTTCTTGGTGCGTTTACCCTTCTCGGGAGTCCTCAAAACCACCCTAAAACACCCACCGACAGCTGCCTCACCTTCTCAGACTGCTCATCGGCATATGGCTTCACCCCTCCGAGGTTGCGTGCGGCAGCTGCATAAGGCACGTGCTGAGATACTGCCCAAGACCACAGCCTGCACACACCAATTCCCAACTCCCACTCCTGTAGCCTGGCTGCTTGCCCAACTGGCCCCTACTTTTTACTGATTGCCACATTGTGGCTTGGGTAGAAACCTGTTAATCAAGGGATGCTTATACCTTCACCAACAATACACCATCTGAAAAACAGCTGCTAATTCAGCCCACTAGCCATCACTCACTTCGCCTTGCTTGAGTCTGCTCCAATATCCTGATTTGCTCAATGCTTCACACCGTCAAAATAAAAAACCAAAACAAAACCTGCAATCTAGTCATAGAGCCACAAGTTGCATCTTCCCTTTGATACCATATGCTGACTCACCTTCTTACAGCTCATCCTTCCACATCTGCAAAAACAACAAAGCCACCCAGATGCTAATAAACAGCCTACCAAATCCCAAGGTCCTGTTTCCATTTACGAATACCATCTAGATTCCAATGATAGCGTGCCATTATAAAAACCCGACAACCGTAAGCATACGTGTACAAGCCTTAACAATTTTCAAATTCAAGCTGT